TGCACAGGTGCTTTCATAGGTACAGATTAGGAAGTGATGATATACACAGCATTTGGTAGTAAGAAAACATAGTCAACTTTGGAAAAGTTCATTGAATTTTATCATCACATAATTGCCAGGACAATGAATTTTAGCAAGTCAGGAAGACAGAAAGAAACTAGTTTCCTTAAAACAGTTTTTCAAGTAAGATGGAAATGTTACATATTTGCATATGTGAATTAAACACAGAAAAAGAAAAGAAAGAATCAGAGAAATTAGCCAGGTTGAACGTATGTAATGAGAAGACAAGAATATTGATAATAAAATTCTAGTGAAATTTTAAAGAAACAGTAGTGAGGGGGCTGGGGATTTAGCTCAGCGGCATAAGCGCCTGCCTTGCAAGCAGGCAGTCGTGAGTTCGATCCCCGGTACCGATAGAAAGGAAAAAGACCAAAAAAAAAAAAAAAAAAAAAAAAAAAAAAAAAAAAAAAAAGAAAAGAAAGAAATAGTAGTGAACAACATAACACATAGCTAATGCAAAACCCAAAAGCAAAGATAAGTCTCACCTAAACTCCACAAATATACTATAAAAAGTAGCACACTGCCAATTTTAGTTTTCTGAATCTTTATGTAACTCTAATAGTATTCTCTTTATTTTATAATAAAGGGCTATGTCACAAAAACAGGTTCCAAAAATATGTATTTAAAGGAATGAATGATTTTTTTTTAATCTGCTTTGCACACTGAAATTCAGTACATGGAAATGTTCACTAAAACCATTGCTATATCCTCAATAATCATAATACACTTACCTAAATCTGGAAAACATTCAATTAGCAATTGCATCAGCCTTTGAAACAAAACAGACACTTGCACACATTAATAGTTTACTTGGTGGCACCACAGTATTCTAGTGAAGGAACAAGTGAGGTTCAGTGCGGCAGATAACTGTAAGAGTTTCTCTATTCGATTCTCTAAGTAAGCCAAGAAGCTGTCATTAAGGTCAAATTTTTTCTGGTAGAACAAGTCCTTGATTTGGATTTGAGATGTATTGGTTGGTGCCATAGCTGTGCAAACGTAAGACTGTCTAGGTGGGAAAAAAAAAGATCAGGCATAGGGCCGGGCCGGGGACTTAGCTCAGTGGCATAAGCGCCTGCCTGCCTGGCAAACGCGGGGTCCTGAGTTGGATCTCAGGTAACAAAACACAAAACAAAACAAACCCCAGCACACTCATAACAAAGGCAGGCATGTTCACCGCAAAGATCCATACCAATAACTGGATCTGCTTCCAAGGTTCTATTATGATTGCTTATTTGAGAAAATTTAAGTCACAAGGTGGGAGGTGCCTCCCTCCCAGCTTGGTCTGCTGGGGAGGCCTGCAGCCATGGTGCTTCTTGCATCAGCTGTGGAAGAGCAGAAGCTAGACTGGGTGCATGGAAACTCAAGCAAGTCACTGGGCCTGCACCCAGAACAGGCTTGGATCCAGGCACTGGGTAACTTTGAGGCACTGAGCCACTGTTCCTACCAGAGCTATAGAGAGCTCAACTCCTTCTAAGGCCAGCCACTGTACTGAGCTGACCCAGAAGGTAGAGGCATTGTGGAGCAACCAGATGACAGAAATGCGGCTGTGATCCACGTCCAGGGCCTGGTGGCCAGCACCACAGAGGAGCTCCAGTCCCTTCAAGGTGAGGCAGAGGCTACCTTCGGCCCCCAGGCAACCCTGAGGCAGGCAAAACAGGCTGGTGTCAGTGGAGGTGGATGACTTCAGGCTCAGAGCATCTGCAGCCCTGGATGCCCAGGAAGTTGCTCAAGACCCAGGCCAACAGCAGGTAGGAACCCAAAGAGGAAAGGAACCCCAGCTTTTGGGGTGCCTCTTGACTTCACACCTTCCAACACATGCCCTGGCAGGAGCCTGGATCACTTCAGTGTCCACTGTGCTTGTGAACTTCTGAACTCAGACTGTGCCCTGCACCCTAAGGACCCTTAAGGTCCCTGCTAAGGGGACGCTGCCTGGCTGCATTACTCCTCCCCTGGACAACTATGCCATCCATGGCTTTCCAAAGACAAAAGACTCCTTCACACAGTCATATACTTGTGGCACCTTAGGCTCCACACCTTGCAGGGCCATCCATGTACATTTGTCATGTTGGTTGCCCTACTGAAACCCTATGTCAACAAGTATCTTGCCCTCATGTAAAATAAAATAAAATAGTCAGTTAATCCCAGTTGTCAATTTGACAGGATTGAGAAGCCCCTGAAGACATAACTGCTTGTGAAGGCACAAACCTTCATCTTGGCTAACTGGGCTATCAGGAGGCAATATCTTCTTAGAAGAGGTGGTATATGGAGGTGCCAAGCTGCTGGCAATTCTGGTCCCCAGGCTCTGGCTCCTCCTCTTTCCCTGCTCTCTGCTTCCCGGATGCCATGAATTGAGTTACTATAATCCACCGTGACCTTCTGCCATGTTTCTGCTTTGGAGTATCCTGTATGAAATGAAATCTCTGCCCCTGAGCTAAAGGAAACAAACCCCTGTTCTTTCAAATTGTGGGCACCGGGGCAGGGATTTAGCTCAGTCAGTGGTGCAGCACCTCCCTGGCATGTATGAGGTCCTGAGTTCAATTTCCAGTAAAAAAAAAAAAAAAAAAAAAAAAAGAAAAGAAAAAAATCAAACTTGTGGGAATCAGGATTTTGTTTCAGTAATGAGAAAGCTGACCAAGTCACACATTAATCATAATACATAATATACACTCAATGTCTACTTTGTAAAATGTACATGGATAAGTTTTTTAAATATCTTTAAGCATAGTATCTTCTAGAGACATATATGTCTATAATGTATTTTCATTAACATACCCAGTTAATATTTATAGTAGCATAATTTTTAAATTAATACCAAGAAAAATTATATATATATATATATATATATATATAATTTCACAAAAATCACATTAAGTTAATGATTTTCTGAAAGTGATTTTTTAAGGCAAACTTGGTGGTTCAGGTGTATAATTCTAGCACTGAGGAGGCTGAGGCAGCAGGATTATAGTGAGTTCCAGGCCAACCTGGGCTACATAGTGACTTCAAGCCCAGACTGAACTACTCAGTGCGACACTGTCTAAAAAAAAAAAAAAAAAAAAAAAAGCAAAAAAATACAAAATGTGATAGAAAAATATGGTAAAGGTTCAAATTAAAAATCTGTTTTAATAGAAGAGAAACCGCCATTAATTCTCCTCAAAATATTAATTCATTTCAAATGCACTAGTGACATATTTTGAGATTCAATGTCAAGTTGATTCAACGTCCTGTTGGATTTGTAATACTTACCTACCCTAGTCATTTTTATTTTGATAAAAAAGCAAATGTCATATGATGCTAGCTATGGTAAGCACAGTAGATGAAGCTACACCATGTTTGTAAAACTCTGCCTTTCCTTGGATGGAACTTGGCAGTGAAATTCATTGTGTGTTTCAACACATCTTATAAAACCACAAAAGAGGGGGCTGGGGGTTTAGCTCAGCGGCATAAGCACTTGCCTTGCAAGCAGGTGGTCGTGAGATCGATCCCTGGTACTGATAAAAATGAAAAAGACAAAAAAAAAAAAAAAAAAAAAAAAAAAACCCACACACACAAAAGAGAACTTCCACAACTGCTGCAAAAATGATGGCTGTGTGTTCCAAGCAAACAGCAGGATTTTTGAAGGTTAGTGGCGATGTCTTCTACTGTAATTTTTTTTTCAAAATTAAGCTTTCACTGTGTATTTCACTCATTATTCTACATAGAGCTTTTTGCATCTCATTTCTAGAGATTTCACTATCATTTAAAAGCTCAATTTTCTTGTTTATTCAACTTGCTACTACTTTTTGCCTAACCAGTTCTCCCAATTAAAAGCATAATTTGCAATAATTTTCATTTGGCTATTGAATGAAGTGCCTCCCAGGTGCTAAGAACTTGCTCTTTCTGTGATCTACACTGCTGGACCTAATTTTCAATTTCAATTACTAGAAAATTATCAATATCACACGTGATAGTATGTAATAGTTTTAACTGTTTTGATAAATACATTTAGTTTAATATGTTGACCTGTTATTTAGAAGGCAAATCTTTCTCTTTTTTATATCTACTGCCTTAAAATGTACCTTAAATGTGTCAGTGCATTCAAAATGAGCCACACCAATGACCCCGTATTGCTACAGTAAGATTTTAAATGTGTGATTCATGTAAACATACCTGAAAATGTACCAAAATATTTCACTTCTCTTTGCATGTGGAACTCTACAGTATGAATAATGAATGATATGTATTTTTCTGTCAAGAAAATGCATCATAATGATAAATGATTAATCTGCCAAATAATACCTATGTTCTGTTATTAATAATGAAGGACATATATTCATATATCAGTTTTAGTAACAAATAAAATGTGTATTTTATACAAGAGAATTTGTGATGAGTTATTTAAGGTGAGAAAAGTAATTTTCTTGTGTTGCTATTCCTGTTTCATCTATAATAACAAAAAAGTAGGTATCATCAATTTAATTTAAACATTAGCTCAAAATACTGATTGCCATGAACTGATTAGATGAATATTTTTATATCTATACTTAGTCAAACACAACTTAAACAAGAGAGGTGATTTCATAAAATATCAACCATTATTGATGAGTCCAACATCTTGAGGAGAACCACAGCCCCTTAAATGCCACACTTAGTTATAGGAACAGGGTCATAGGGAAAGGGTACAATGCTGTAGGGGGTATTAGCAATTCCATCCTAATACGCGATTTTATCTTTTCAACCCACCCATAATACCATCACTCTAAATATATAAGCACATTATCTGAGAATGAACGTATTTTTGATATGGAGAAAGGTAGTGAAATTTTTCTGTTAAAATATGGGCTATATTACTCAATTTTGATTTAGCAGAGTAGCAATTTCTATTTGTGTAGAAACTTGGCAAAAACATTTGGTGACTTTTCAACCTAGTTTGGCAGTGAGTAACAAATAACTCAAAATAATAGTGCATTAGCCATGATTGAAGTTTATTGCTTTCTCACATAAACATTTTAAGGAAGAAAATCCAGGCCTTAATGGAGACTTTGCGCTGTGTAAGCCTCAGGGACTGAGCCTGCTGCTGTAATGCTGCTTACACCTACACTAACACCATTCTGAGGGTTACTTCGTGGTCACAGATGGATATTCAGGCTCCAGCCATCTTTACTACATTCTAGACAGAAGGGAGAAAGAAGAGACAAGTAAAATTAGCCAAGACACTTTCAACTTGCACAATCTGTGGAAGTATATACAGAATATGAACTAACTATTGCATATCACAAGAATGTCCACTACACAGGAAAACTGCATTCAAGATGTAGATTATCTACTCATCCATTCTGCTACCAAGTAAGAATAGGTTAGCAAAAGCTGGGAAAAAAAGGGTAGCAGTATGTGCAAAGTTCCAAATATGGCAAACATTCAAGAGTGTACGTATTAAGATTTTATTGGAGATTTAAGAAAATTATTGTAATAATAAATTATGAATTAAGAGAGCAAAACAATGCTTTCATCAAATACATGAAGAACAGAGGCTATAGTGCCTTAATAATTTATACAAATTTTTTAACTAAAATTATTTGAAGCACTAGAATTATGGAATAAAAGGTTAACCATAAAATAGTTATTAAGAATTCTGGCTTCTGGGCCAGGGATATAGCTCATCTTGAAAAGTGAAAGGTATTGAGTTCAATTCCTGATTCAAAAAAAAAAAAAAATAACAAAAATTCTGGCTTCTGTGAAGTATATTTCCTGTCTTTGGAATCTGCTCTGACATTGGTTATTTGTTTAACTTCTCTGTGCTATAGTCTTCTCATTTTTAAAAAAGGAAATAATATTTCTTATAATACTGTCATTAAATCACAATAAATATAAAGATTTAAAAGTAGTGTGACATTAACACTACTTTCGTTAGTTAAAAGTAGTGTGACATGAAGATTTCTGATTTACTTATTATAATGCTTCTGTACTTTAGAAAAAGTTTCATACATTTTTTTTTTCATTTTCTTTGGTACTAGGAAGCAGACTCAAGAGTTTGCATTTACTAGGCAGGCATCACAGATCTATTTTTAAAAAATAATATATTACAAACAATATATTTCAAATATTTGTAAATAAGTATAAAAATAATACTCTACACAAATACATAGAGGATGTATGTATCCTACACAAATACATAGAGTATTATTTTATATTTATTTACAAATATTTGAAATATATTGTTTGTAATATATTATTTTTTAAAAATAGATCTGTGATGCCTTCCTGGTAAATGCAAACTCTTGAGTCTGCTTCCTGGTACCAAAAAAATCTATGAAACTTTTTCTAAAGTACAGAGGCATTATAATAAGTAAATAAAAAATCTTCATCTTCAAAATTCACTAGATGAAAATTGGAGGTGGTTTTATATGTTAATATTGAAGCAGATATGCATAAAACTCTAAAAACTTGCCTAGCTAACAGATGACATGGTTTTCCACATATATTTTTTAACTGAGTATGACAATATCAATAATATTTTCTTCATAAGTTTTCCCAAGATGACATGGTTTTCCACTTATATTTTTAACTTAGAATATGACAACATCAATAATATTTTCTTCACATGTTTTACCAAGCACAATCGGTCTTTTTAATCTAAAATTCATGAACTGGTAGTGCAAATTATAATAGTCAAACACGACACAAGAATTCATTTATTTTGCAGTAAAGGAAAAATGCTTAAATGTAAACAATATTAACAATTTATTAAAAAGACAATGAAAGATTACCAGGTATACTCATAAATTACAAAAATTAAATAATTAAATAATTTCAGAACAAATATTGCCTCTACATAGAGTTAATGATCACTGCTATAATTTCATATACTTGGACACTTAGTAGAAATTTAAATTAGCTTTATAATATTTTAGATAGACTTGAAGCACTTGTAGTTAACTGTGTAACAGAAGAATATATCATGCCATGTAATGTTATTTTTCCACGGTGGTCAGAACGTTTTGTTATGACTATTTAGAGAACTGTAGATTTCTAAACTATTACAGATGCGCATGAAAAATATTTTTTACGAATACAGTCATCTCAGTACTACCGAACATAATCTGAAATCAGCAACTATACCCAACATTCTGATTGCAAAGCCAACCAATTTAAATCATACCTCATTTTTTTTCTGCTGAGTAGATATTTTCATCTTGTCTCCTAAATGAGCAATACTGTATAATTTATAGTTTTAAATTGTCTAATGAAACCTTTAATGAATGCATTTCTTCAAACTGGTAGACTGTGAATTTTTAAAAACTGAAAGTTATATAGTTACTGCCTCCTTAGTTACTTGCTGTTGCTATATTTTGAGCAAATAATTACATAACACTTTTCTTTCCTCCAAAATGTCTCAGGAATTTCCAGTGACATTCTCAGTGTCAGCAGTGGCTTCATCAACAATTATATAAAATGTGAAGATGCCACCAGAAAACTAATGTTAGTAGATATGTGGGTGTATGGGTGTGGAAAACGAAACTATATATTGCGATAGGGTTTGTAACTGAATGTTAAATGAAATGAAAGGGAAAATTCCAGGAACATCATTCTGTAAGCACCGGACAACCTAGGGATTTAGTAAAAATAAGCATCTTTGAGAAAAGAGTTTTTGCGTCTATTTTAGGCAAAATATTTTTCTCCTCCTGGTGTAAAATGCATTCAGTGGGGAATAAAAATCATGTTGCAGGTGATAGGTGATCTCATGTCAACATCAGTCTTGCTATATCTACCAAGCGGAGGTTTTAGAAAAGGCATATAAAGTTACAAGCACCATGAATAAATAAAAATGCTATATCAGGATCCTTTAATTATTCAAGGAAAGAAATATGGCAAGTTGCCTAAATTTTACTAGAAATGAAGGTAATATTTAAAATTTTCTGTGAATATTAGGTAAATAAGTGAATGAAACATGATTAGACCCAAAATACATTTGTATTAAACAATGCACATAATACAATAGCATAGTAATGCTATTTACTATAAAACTGTCAAATGAGACACAGTAAATTATCTTATATTTGCATATTTTTATAATACTATTCACCATTTCCATAAACTCTTGTCCTTAACTGTTGGACAGAAAATGGATAATGCTACTCTGTGCACACTGCAATAAAGAAGTGTTCTCCATACTGTGTTTCCACTATGGTTTGTCATAGTGGAATATTTTGAGGTCCTAGCCCTCAAAATATCACCTTCCCAGATACTGACTTTCATCTCCAGAGCAACTTCAAATTCTAACTTAAAATAAAAAATTATAACTTAGAATTGATATCACTGTATCACATGCTATCAAAAGAACTGCATATGCAGAACCTGAAGATGTAGACGTTAATTCTAACAGGGCAAAAATGACTTGCAAGCTACTAGACTGGTAGGATCAAAAGTTTCTAAGTCACCTTGGAAAAGTAAAATTTCTGTAACTTACTTTCTAGTGTCCCTTAACAGAATACTAGACCAGAAAAACAGTTTACTCTGAGATATACTTGTTATACACTAAAGTAACTAAACAACAACAACAACAAATTTGTAGGGCCTCTAGCTTCAGTCTCAGTATACACAGAAGGTTGACATCAATCCCTGCTTTACAAGAATAAAATAACAACTAATGTAACCTAAAATCAATAATTTTCCTAAGATTTACCTATAAAATTTATACTTTAAAGTTGTGAAACTTATGAGGACAGCTGATTGCAAGGAATATTCATGCTTCAATAGCATTTATGTTAATCCATTATGAAAAGATACTGAAAAGTCTTCTTAAGACTATAGGAACAGAAAAAAAGACTAAGCACTGAAAATTGTGTCACATGTATTCTTCCTAACAAAGTTCTACTCTCCTTTCAGACAAAACAATCTTCCTTCAGAGATTGAAAGAAAAAACCTTTGTCCTACAACATATCCCTCTTTTATTTTTCATTTAATATGAAAAAAAATTACGCAACAGAAGAAAAAGCTATGAAGGTCGCAGACCAGAGACACCAATCATAGAAATACTAAGATAAATTACAAGATCTTAGAAAGCCTCCCTGCCTGAAATTTTAGCATGATATCTACACGGCTTGTATTTGGAAACAGAAAGAACTGGAAAAGCTAGTGATAAATGTCCTATCAGAGAAGCAGTAGTTAGAGATGCCCAAAGTCAGGAAAATTTCCATTTGGCCTAGCTATTCTCCTTCTTGTTTCTTCCCAAAACAATTGAAAATATCATAAAGAAGAAAAAAGGGAAATAAAACAAAGCTTTATAAATAAAGAGAAGAGAGATTTGAAAGGAGGGTAGAGGAATGGGAAAAATAGAACAAAGATGTATCATGTAAAGGCACAGATTTGCTGTATGAAACTCATCATTGTTAAAATGTACCAACAAATTAAATTATTAGAAAAGAATATCTATGAAAAGAACAGCAGGGAAATGTAAACTCTGTGGCTTGTAAGCTGCAGAAAATGACAAAATTCAACTGCATGCCAGATTAACATAAATTCTCACATTATTGAAACTTTACCCTCATTCCCCATTTTCTGATACTACCTATCTTGCTTTCACCAAAAAAACGATGACAAGCAGAAGGTGGTGGGTAGTAGAGGAAACCTGAAAATACAAAACCAACCTGAGAACTTAAACAAAGATGTTGGATTTATCAAAATCACACTTCTAAACTGACTATTACTAAAATGTTAAATGCTGTCCAAAAATGGTGACAAGTAAAAACACATGTGTAATATAACTAAACTGAAAATTTTAAGAGAAAAAGCAAAGAATATTGTACAGATTTATGTAACAATGATAGGTTCTCTGTGATAGACTCAACAGTAGCCTTTTTAAATGCTCAAAGAAAGAAACAGTGAGCAGGAAGTGATACCAATAAAAAATTTCAGGAATGAAGTGAAAAAAATTATAATAAAAAATGAAACAAGAAGAAAAATAAAACGGAAAATTTCAAATCATATAGAAAGTTGTGATCAACATAGATAAAATAACAAAAGTCAAAGAAAGAAACACTGAAAAACAAGAATTATTTGAAACAATAGTGAATGTGAATGTGTTAAAATTAATGAAAGACATTAAACTAAATATCCAAATGTTTAGATAAATACAAGAAATTTACAAATAAAATACATCAATGTATACTATATGCGAACTGACAAGCACAGATATATTATTCAAATTTGAATAATCAAATCAAGGAAGACAAAGAGATAAACAAATACTTTAAATGAAATTAGAGATATAAAGAACTCATTTTAGAAGAATAAGATCAAGAATTACACTGAATCTCTCATTAGATATCATTAAATCAGGAAAGTAGAACCAAATGTTTAAATTTTTAAAAAGTATAAGGGGAAATAAAATTCTGTTATCTACAGGATATACTCTTAAAACAACAAATTCAATAACGATAATGACAAAAAATTTAGGAATACATTTATATCAAATAACTAGGAAATTGTCAAAGACATTTTTCAGGCAAAATATGTTACAGAGGACATAAACTTGGAAGTACAAAAAGAAGCATTAAAAAGATATTATAATTTCACAATTTCATAATTTTAATTGAGAAAATAAAGTATAACAATGTGTGTGATTATAGCATATGATTAAGTGATATTAAAGAGGGCAATGTTATAAGGAATAGCTAGGAAAAATTAAGAATATTCTACTCTAGGGTATCTATCCTACACACAGAGCAGAATAATGTTGTTTAATGTTAACATAAACTAGTGATAAGTCATAAGAAAAGAGATAAAATTGACTTACCTAAATTTTATATTAAGGTAGAACAAGTACTTCTTTCAATTAAGGAAAAATAGCTACAAATAACTATTGTTATTGAAAAAACATATAAGTAATCTATTAAAATATAATCACAGCACTTTGGGAGGATGAGACAGAAGAACAATAAGATCAAGTCCATGTAGGCAACTTAGGGAAAGCCTACATCAAAAGAAGTGTAGTGATATAAATTGTAGGCAAATCCTCTATTGTTTATGCAAAGGCTATATTATTTTACACAAATCAAAATTAATAAGCCTCAAAAATACTGAAAAATAAAAGGGTTGAGAGGTGTAACCTATGCTAAGGTAATAGGTTCAAACCCCAGTGCCACAAAAAAAAAATAAAAAATTATTTCAATCAATTAAAATAAAATATAAATGTAGGTTAAAACCAATAAGGTTCACATTTGTTCAAAATAACAAAATGGAAGACAGTATACCGTGCTAACACTAATGAAAAAAACAAGGTGAAGTAACATTACAAAATTTCGAGAAATACGACTTCAGAATAAAAAATCACAGATAAAGAATTGAATTACACAAACGAATTAGTGAAGAATTCAATTCTAAATGAACACAAGGATAATGGTAATTATATATGCACTAAAAAATTAAATGAAAATCAAAATAGAACTTATCAAAATGTGTTGGGTGCAGTCATAGTACTCAAGAAGAAATTTAATAGTGGTAAATACATATTAAGAAAGAAAAATCTACAATCAATCATTTTAGTTTTCATTTTAGGAGACTAGAAAAAAGAAAAACATAAATTTTAAGTGATAAGAAGAAAATAAATATCAGGCAAATCCTAATGAAGAGTCATTACACAAAATTCCTAACCAGTAATGAACAAAAGCATCAAGATTAAGTCAAAAGAAGGAAAATTTTTAAAGCTGTCAAAACCAATAAGAACTTACAGAGACATGGCTACCAAAATTAACATTTGATGCAAATTTGGCTTAGAATAGTAAAACATAATGACATTAGGAGAATATTTTAAAATTTGAATTAAAGTGTGCACTATCATTTAAAATAAGGTTTTAATTTTGGTTCATTAAATTTAACACATTTAACATTAAAATGTAATGCCTTAATACAGAAATCTCATAAGATATCTTGGGTAGCTATCCTATTTTTGTAATAATTCTCTTGTAAATTTTTTTAAAGTTTATTTTCAGAATAAGCTATGAGAGATTCTCAAAAGACAGCATAGTGTCGCTTGAAGCAGTGTGCATCTTTCTTCATTTATCCCAGCAGTTTTTGTAAAGTGCCTCTGGGGTGGCCACTTTGATAAGGCTCAAGAGCAGTAAGAGGACAAAACATATACTATAGGGCATTGTTTCTCCTGCCCGGTGACTCACCCTGGTGACTGATGCTGTATAATATAAAGGCTGTTAAAACAATATCAACAAGATCAAAGAAAGTACCATGACATTACCAGGGACATGTTTGATGAGTTCATCAACCATCAAAGATGAAATGATGGGTTTTAGCCTGAGAAAGTATAATTGCTGACGGTCTGAAATACTCCATAGAAACCCATTATGAATACTTTAGGAGTAGTGCACATATTTTAATATTAAATTAAGTTAAAATTGTTTCTATTTTGATCCTACTATGCCATTGGCTGTTTCCTTCCTGAAGATAATTCAAATAGTTAACAAAAGATTCATGTAA